CTGTGCGTTCCTGCAAGTAGCAAGAACGAGGAACGCAGAAGGGAGTACGAAGGCGAAGGGACAAAGCGCCGCGAACAATTTGATGGAGCATCTGGACCGTCGGAACAGTTGGCATCGGACAGCTGCAAGAGCGAGAAAAAAAAAAGAGAGAACAGTTTCGTAACTGCACGTGCCGCATTGTTTGAATTTGAATAAGGGAATGTACCCCTTATAGTACATGGCTAGAATAAGGGTACATTCCTGTGTCGACATTTGTGTCTCAAAGCGTTTGTGACGCGTAAAAGCAACATATAACGTACAATGTCTCAAACGCGAGTCGCCTTTTAGCGACCATTACTGTATTTTTTATTGGTCAGCGTGAAACGCGCTGACGTCGCTGACGAATTGTAAACCGACTCGTCAGTGTTAAAAAATCGCACGTGGTTCGAAATGTCGATGCACCTGGTCTGCCCCAAATGCCAATTTTGCGCGGAAAACAATCCCGCGCGTCGAAACCACACCCCAGCTAATCGGTTGAAGAAACGGGTCTACAGTAATTCGTGTCACCCAATCACATGCGCCCAACTGTGCATTTCGCATGGTCGCCTAGTTTCGCGATACATTCATTTTTTGTGACGCGAGATTGACAAAATGTTTCGACGCGACTCGGGAGAAAGGGGATTGAGACATAAATATTGACACAGGAATGTGCCCTAAGACCTGAATTTCCCTATACTATTATATATGCCGTTGTATTTGCTTGCATAATTATCTCAGTCATTTTACATTCACTCTGATCCGAGGTCAAGGGCCCACCACCCACACAAACTTCTTGCGAACCTTCCTGATGTGATCCGAGGGACGATCTACGCACTGATCGCAACATTTTCATTTATATATAGTTCAAGTCACGACACGCGGTCATATATAGATGATAGCATAAACAAGTGATGCAACATTACTATCTCTTAAAGAATTTTGCTAGCACATGCGTCAAATCTTGAAGTGTCGACCGTCTGAAAAACACCCCAATATATAACATCGGAATGATTTTGAGATTGAAAATGTACACTCATTGGCGAGTATGGGTGAAAATCGAACTTGTAATACAGAGTAAACCAGGCAGCTGGGCAGCCCCCCTCGGAGAGCCGGCTCACGCAGAGCCCTAGGGCACACCGGCTGATAAAAATAGTGTCGAATGACCCAGAATCTGGAGGGTATCAGCTCTTGATAGACGACGGCCAGCTCTCTCCGGGATGCGAGGTGCATCTCCATAATGTGCGAGAATGTGCTGCGATGGTTCAAGCTCGGACGGAATTGTCCGATTTGTCACGAATTTCTGGGCTGACCGGGTGACGTCAGCCAAAAAACGGCTATTTTGCAAATGACGGATGGTTTGCTCATCCACCAGAAACAGACCACCAAGCTCATCCACTCCTTACAGGAACGAAGCTCGTACGTGCCAGCACAATTACTGCCGCAGGCAACCGCGGGGCTCCTCTATTGGTCCCTAGCGTCCTTCAAGGTTAATCTTATCCTGTCTGCTACATTTTTTCTGAGCCGAACCCTTGAGTCGATTCAAAAGCAGACCGTTTTTTTTAGCCGACCTTTCACGGGAGGAAGGAGAGCACCCCACTTCAACGCACCAACAACACTGTCACATGGAGCAGCATGCAGCTTCTGTCAAGACCCTGTTTGGTTCACATTTGCTGGCTTTGTTCTCTCCTGTCGCTGCCTTATCTCGAATAACCAATTTTACGCAGATGATACTACTTCCACCAGAGCCCCCAGCACGGGCCAAGTTGGCGTGTTAGTACCGGTGACCTGATTAACCTAAAAACGCACCACCAGGATCAACCGCTTTATAATAGTACTTTTCAGGCAAGATGAAGGTGGAGCCAAGAGAGCGTCTCTCGTACACGCCGCCATGCAAGGAATTCATGTGGGAATACTACAGGTTTCAATTTGAACCATTAAGGCTTCTGCGGAAGCTTCTGGTGCTGCTGGCTGCTCTGCTGCTCCACTCCGCCACTGCCGCTGCCATCCCCTGGCATGCTTCGCAAGGTACTTCCCTGGATCCGGGACGCATCGTACGTGTTCGCAGCTGTCGTTGCAGCAGCTCCTTGGTGCTACTGTAACGCCTGTGGGCTGAGTGTTAATGGGCATTCCGCTGCGCCATATAACACCTGACGACCTCGTGTGGAGCGAGATGTTATACTGGAATGAGAGCCTAGGGTTCGAATTCCGGCTGGTCCACACTTTCCGTCCGTGGCGAGAATTGAAGTGTAACACCTCGCTACCCACTGGGTCAAAACGAGGGTTATATTTGAGGCGCAGCGGATGCACTCAACCCTTACGTGTAAGCCCCACTGGCGTTACATGAAGTGTGGTTACCAGCTCGAACCCAACGAACGATCCTGGAATGAGGTCCCTGCTGGGGCCGACTCCCTGAAGTTGAGGGCCAACGGGGACGTCGGAAACCAGGGGGGGACGAGTGTAACGCCTGTGGGCTGAGTGTTAATGGGCATTCCGCTGCGCCATATAACACCTAGCGAGATGTATAACTACTACCTTGTCAGGTCACCTGTCAGGTCGGAAGTGGGAAGCCCCGCAAGTCATGAAGTCATCGTCGGACGCCGGCAAAGGGCGGATGGTGCAGGGAACAGCGACTGGAAAACAAGGGCTCAAAGAAACAGCTAACAGGCCCGAAATAAAATTAACTTCAGAGGAGCTTTGCATCGCCGTGGCGTTTGGCTCTGGGTCCAATGCCAGGCCGTGCTGATGAAGGTTGTATCGTCTATTGGCCCGTCTGGCCATTTCATTGCCATCCCCCATTCTCCTACTCACCTCCTGTTTCGCCCTTTCCCTCCCCGCCTTTTTCGTCACCACACCACCCCTTGTTGCCTGCCTGGCAGTGCCTGCGATCCAGGACCTGCGGGCGGCAATGAGTGTGGACGGGGAGGTGTTTGGATTCACGGGGTGGAACCAAGGGGACGACTGCACCAAAGCTCAAGTGCTGGCTTGTAACCGCAAGGGCATGGTTGTCCGCATGTAAGGCGTGGTTATCAGCGTATGCGTGCTATTACAAGGGACATGCTTATCAAATGGCTAGAAGGGTAGCATCATTATCATGTAGCGTGGGTGCGCATGTACCTGCGTGAAGTTTAATAGGAGTGGTTACCACGTGGAGCATATGGTTACCACCAAGTCAAATGTAATGTAGACGGATAAGTAGTAATAGTATAGAATCCGTGATTGTGACATCAAAAGCAAGCGGACTTCAGTGAATGATTGTTCAAATTACAATTTCCTCCTCAATGCCAGTCGGGAAACTTACCCAAGATTTCTTCCTTGTTTGTTTCTTCCTCCCTTCCTTTCTCCCAACCTTGCCTGTCCGTGCGTGGCTGTCCCTCTCCCTGTCGTCCCAGAGACCTGACAGATAGAGACAAGCTCGGCTACCTGCCGTCCAGCATTGGCGCACTGCTGCAGCTCACCTCACTGTAAGGGTTTCGGGTTTAAGGTTCTCGTTCCCAGTCCACCATCTCATGTCCCAGCTTATAGCGCGAACTCCCTGTAGCCACCCCACCAAAGCGAGCCTGGCCGCTGAAGTCCCTCTTTTCCTTCACCCTCTCCCCACCTTGCCCGTTCTCTCGTTCCCTATCCGCCCGCCAGTAAACTTCACGGCAACCAGTTCAGCCGGGAGGTGCCAGCATCGATCAGCAGTCTGGTCAAGCTGGTGCACCTGTGAGTCTGGTAGTGCGTCAACACTTGTGATGTCATGCCGTGCGCTCATTCGTTGGAGTAGCATGCATGCGTATCCCATGTGTGCATGACTGTCGCATGTGTGTGTGTGCGACTATCCCATTCGCTTGAGATTTACATGTGTGCATGGCTGCTAGATGTTTGCATGGATGCAATATGTGTGCATGGATGCTATATGTGTGCATTGATGTTATCTGTGTGCTTAAATTTTATATGTGTGCTTAAATGTTATATGCGTGCTTAAATGTTATATGTGTGCTTAAATGTTATATCTGTGCATCCACGTCATGTAACCGTGCACGTGCGCTTTTCATGTATGTCTCACTGCGCAAGCCCTTTCACGTAGCAGTATGATGTATCCTGCGTGTCCTTACCACGTAGCATTGACGCGTGAGCGCGCTCTGAAAAGGAAAGGCTAACTAACCCGACAAGCATGCCTCCCGGTTTTGCCCTCAGCCACCTGGCTTCCCTGCCCAACCTCACAACGCCACACCCTCCCCTCCCGCCTGCCTGCCCTCCGCAATTGATCGCCCGTGGCAGCGACCTGTCTACGAACCGCTTCAATGGGACCATCCCTTGCTTTGGCAGCTTGACCGCTCTCACGTCCCTGTAAGCCAGCTTTTCAAATAGCACAGGCATGCACGCTCGTCCCATCCCATGTGAATTTACACCAAGAAGATTCATATCAATGTGCCCTCCCCACCTCACTGCCCCATTCCTCTCCCCTCGATCCCGTGCATGGTGCACTCCTCCTCTATGCCTGCTCCTCTCTCTCCCCCTCCTCCTTGCCGCGCAGCAACTTGGCCAGCAACAGGCTTGCCGGCGTCGTCCCCGACTGCTTCGCCCGCCTTAGGAAACTTAAAGTCATGTCAGCCTCTTCTCCCTCTCAAGCTTGAAAGTCAAAACCATGTGGGCCCTTTGCTCATAAGCTTCGAGTCAAGTCACAGTCCGTCCGTGCAGTGCAGTGCAGAGGCGTTTCTTGTGGCTCCTCGAAAACAGACTCGCTTACAAGCTTTGAGTCACAGCCCATGCAGTGCAGAGCGCGTTTTTTCGGCAATCCGCCAGCCGCTCGTTCTTTGGTTGCCGCCTTGTTGCTTTGCTTTACGGATTCTGTATTCATGCTATCATGCACGCAGTGCAGTCAGTTCTTGTCATGGTCGTCCCATCCCATCCAACCAACGTATGTTTGGTGGGCAATGGGCATTGACAGTGACGTGGCATACAACCAGCTCTCAGGCTCGTTACCGGCGTCAATCGACATGCTGAAAGCACTTACTCTGTTGTGAGTCACTCACATACAAGCCTCATGGAGTCATGTCACGGACTTGCCTGGGCACTCACTCCCTCGCTCACAGCCACTCACGTACCTTCCCTCCAAATCCAGCACTGCGTCATGCCGATGCTGTGCGTTGCTAGGCCTTTTTTCAGTGTTGAACTGCCCTCACGAAGATAGCAGGTTGCCCTTACAACTTTTCAAGTTTCTCCCATCTCCCAGCGCCCACCTCTTGCTCCGTTCTGTTCAAGAGATTCGCTTATTGGCCAACAAACTCCTCCCTCCCGAAAACCTCTGCAGCCCGCAACTCCTCCCTTCCAAAGGAGTAACCTTTTCTCATCTACCCACAGCCACCCCTGCTCCCATCAACCAACCGCAACAGCCCGCTCACGATTATCATCCCTCTGTGGCCTATCCCCTCGTTTCACTCTCTCCCTTTCTTCCACCCTTTCCCTGCCTTCAACCACTCCCCCGATTCCACCCACCGCCTCTCTCCTCTAATCTCCCCTCTGTGCAGTAACGTGAGCAACAACTACTTGTCTGATAACAATTTCCCCACCAAGATATGCCGTATGGATGAGTCGACGCAGGTGGACATCTCAGCCAACTGCCTCGGCGAACCCTGTTACTTCTCCGCTGAACAGCGGTTACCAGAGCAGTGCTCCCTCTTCTGTGGCCTCTCGCCGCCCTGCAGTGACGCCTGTGGTGGCCATGGGTACTGCTACTGGGATGGGGATCCTGGCTCTGCAGCAGCAGCAATGCAGGCCAAGTGCGTGTGCGACGAAGGGTTTTCTTACGTGGAGGATCGTGGGGCGTGTGTTGCCAGCGGCGACGGCATTACTCTGTGGCATGCCTCCCAGCGTAAGGAGGGCAGGGGGGCAGCGTGGCTTGGGAAAGGGAATGCGGGAATACGATCCAATTTTAGGGTTTAGAATTGAGGGGCTCATTCCAAAAAGAGCACTTTTTGGCAAGGTGATGCTTTCCATTTGTGCTTTCTGATCACCCTTGTTGCTTTTTTGCCATGCCATGCCATACATGGGTGGGTGGCCGAGACCGGCTTTCTTTATGGGTGGGTGGCAGTGCCTTTCCTCGCAGATCTGAGGTGCTGGTACAGGTCTGACCACGTCCCAGCCTTCAAAGGCTGGCAGGCAGGGGATAACTGCACGGCTGCAGAGTCGCTCACGTGTGACGAAGATGGCATGGTTACGGAATGGTGAGTGCCACGCCAATATCAAGTGCTGCTGCTTTGTTGAGCGGTTGGTTGTACGTTTCATTCTGTGATTCCCTATCCCAGCACCCCCTCCCCCCCTTCCCCCCTCCCCCCTCACGTTTTTCGCTCGTCATTATCTTGTCTCCCTGTCCCTTGTTGCCAGGAGGGTCCTAGCTGATGACACATTTGGGTACGGTGAAGATGACTGCTTCTCTTCAAAATTAGGCGCCTCAAAAATAGCTGTCTTGTCTTCCTGTCCCTTGTTGCCAGGAGAATCCTTGCTGATGACAATTTTGAGTACGGTGAAGTACCCGAGTCCATTGGCCTCCTGTCAAGGCTATCTGTCATGTATGTATGCCTGTCCCTCCCTCCGTGTCCACGCGAAACTGCATCTCCTGTGTCTCACTCCTCCCATGCTGATCGCGTACCCCGTGGCTTCATGCCTGTGCATCCCGTATATGTATGTATGTATGGCTGATCCATGCTTATTTGTAGCCGTTTAACTATGGCTCTGCTTATTAAGCGCTTGTAATGTCTGCCCCTTCTCTCTTCAACCATCCCAAACAAACCCCGCGTCTGCCCACCAGAGACATAGCCAACGACAACGATGACTATCGCATGTCTGGTACTTTTCCACAATCCATTAGTCAGCTGACCAACCTTGTCATGCTGTGAGTAACCTTTGACGCTTTATGCCCTCCCGCAAATGCCGTCCCCCTTCCACCACTCCTGTGTTCATCATGGTTATGCTTGTAAAAAAGTAAAAGTAAAAATGTGACTGAGCCGAGGCAGGTCGTGGTTTGACAAGAGAGCCAAGAAAGAGGTCTAAAGATTGCAGGCCTCCGGAAGTGGCTAGGGACAAGACAGCTTTGAGCAGTTTTATGGAAGGTGAGCCGGCTTGCCTTGGCAGTTTTTGCCATTGATTTCATGACACCGCCAAAATCCATATGATTCAGACAGACTACTTCAACTTATACATAGAAGCACAGACTACACAAGAGAGAGCAAGCATGGCGAAGGAGTGGCTTTTATCAGGCCATCACACTGTCCTTTCGGAGTGACTGAGTGGTGTGAAGGTGAGGACCAAGGCTGAAATGCGAGAGAACAATACGGACTGATCGCTGGGCTCGGCTGCAAGAGAAGTGAAATGGAGGTGCGTTGAAGCGTATAACTGAGTGAAAAGTGTGACTTTCCAATAAACCTTAAGGCGAGCCGAAGCTATTACTAGAAGGAAGAGCCCTTCCGTTTACCCTGCTTTGAAGCTCCTCACACCACAGCATGACCTCTACCTGTGCCACTCCACTTACTCCACATTGGCCATGCAGAACGGTATCAAAGGCTGACTTTCAGGAAAGCATTCCGTCAGGGATCTTCACTCTTCCACACCTCACCCACATGTGCGTTTCCTCTCCATCAGTTTTCTCTCCTGTTCGAGTTTCTTTGTTTATGCATGTTTGTGTGTGTGTGAGTGTGCGCCTGCGCGCTCGGCTCTGCATATTCACTGCGGTGCCAAAGCAATGGTTGTCGTTCTCTCACTCACTTCGAAGATTCCCACTTCTAGAAATGTCGTGCCACACACCGCTCAAACTATCCCCCGCTCAGAATAGCAAGCTAGCTCTTATGTGCTATCCAACCAACCCAAGAAGCATGCTCCCTTCTCTTGGCAGTGTCCTTTTTGATGCATTTACTGCAGGGTCAGTGCCTGCAGAGGTTTCCAAGATGACATACCTGCAGCACCTGTAAGTTCAACTGCTCTCCTTCTTGTGCAACTTTTCATGCAACTTTGTCCTCTCAAAGTGCAAGTGGCTGGGAAAGAGAGTCCTTGCTGTATTCAGATGCAGAGTGTCCTGAGATGCCTGCCAGCACGCATTTCCGTTCTATGTTTTACAGATTCGATGCCGTTTCAAGCAGTAACCAATCTTACGCACACCTTTTCCATCACTCTCCATCACCCTCGTCTGTATAATTCTCTGCAAGATCCTCAATTCACCTTCCATTGCAGGGATCTCAATCGCAATCGTCTCCTTGGCACTTTTCCTGGGCTCACAGGCTTGGTTCAGCTCACCTACCTGTAAGCTTGATGCTAGCATGCAACTGTGCTGGTGACATGCAACTTGCTGTGAGGGATGGAACAAAGAAGTGATAGTGTTTTTTCACTTTTCATCTCTCCTACGGCCATCCAGCACGCATTTCCATCCTATGTATTCACCGTTCCAATCTCGTTTCAAATCGTAACCAATCTACCCACACATTTTCCACCACCCTCCATCACCCTCATCTGTATAACTCCCTCCTACACCTCCTCCATCACAGGGATCTTAGTCGCAATCGCTTTTTCAGCACGTTTCCTGCGGTCACACGCTTAGTTCTGCTCGAATACCTGTAAGCTTGATGTTACCATGCATCTTGCTGGTAGCATGTAGCCTTGCTGTCTGCGAAGGACTTTGCTCAAAAGTCGACCCTTGCTGGTAGGTAGCGATGGAACCAATGAACTGTATTACTTTTATCCCCTCTCACTCTCTCCCTCTCTCCTTAGTCTTTTTCATCTTGCTTCTCCTTTTTGTGTGTTTCTTTTCGTGCCTTTCTCCGCGCAGAGACATCTCATACAACTACTTAACAGGTTCCATGCCAATTGTAGCTGAATTGAGCAACGTGACATACCTGTGAGTGAGTGCGCATGCTGAATCTGTTTTGTGAGAATTCTCAAAAAGCATTACATACAACTACTTTGCAGGCTATCCCAAACTTTGGCTGATTTGATTTGAGCAATGTGACGTACCTTTGAGTGAGTGCGCATGCTTACAGAATGCTGCACTGCGCACATCCAGCCAGCCCAAGTAGCGCTTTGCAAGAGCACACACACTGCACAAGCGCTGCTTTTCCAGTGCCCCCCACACGTTATCCCTTGACCTCTGACCGTCTTGTCTTTCTCTCACTCTCTCTCACCCCACTTCTGCTCTCACCTCACATCTTCTCCCTCCTTCCCTCCCTCTCTCCCGCGCAGCTCTCTACGCAACAACTACTTTTGGTCGGGGGCGATTGCAGAGAGCATCTGCATGAGCGCCTTAGTGGATGTGCGGAGCAACTGCTTTGCCCAGAATGCAGTGCCGTGCCAGTTGGGGGACGAGCAGGTTGCAGACTGTGTCAGCTTCTGTGGAATGAATGCGCCCTCTGTTCCCCCCTGTAACGGCTATGGCCATTGCGTTGGCAACGGGTTGTGGAATTCTGCCTGGGGGGAGGAGGAATTGCAGTGCCAGTGCTTCGACAAATACGTGTACGGGCAGGACGAGATGACCTGTGTTTCTGTTCTGGAGAGCTCTCAGGGTGCGTACTCTATGCATTTATGTTTGAGACATAAGTACGTTTGTGTTGTGAAGTGCGAAAACTTTGAGACGTCTCGACCAAAAAATGGAGGAAGGATGACACATCTCAAGGTAGGTAGAACCTTTTGAGACGTCTCAAAAGTCGCGTTGCTTGAATGAATGGACATTAGAGAGACAAACGAAGGTCTTCTCGTCATCCTGTCCTCCGCTTCTCCGTTGCTCTCTCCCGGGAGATGCTGCTTCCTTGCCCTGCTCCAGCTGTTACTAACAGAGCTGAAGGTAATCTATGCATGTAGCCTGTATCAGTATGCAGTGTGCCGATTAACAGAAGATCCTCTGCTTCACACAGCGTGCAAAAGTGATCCTGCGAGCGCAAGTGATCCTGTGTTCTGTGTAACATTGCCCCTCGCACTTCCTTCTCTTCCGTCCGAACACCTCGAGATCCTGCCAGCACAAGTGATCCCGTGTTTCTTGTTCTTCATGGAACGTTGCCCCTCGCTCTTCCTTCTCTTTCCGTCCGAACACCTCGTGATCCTCCCAGCACAAGTCTTGAAAAGCCTGCTGGCGCTGTGGAGTTCAGACCCGTCTGGACCGTGGCGTTCAGAATCCCTGGCCTCACTCCTCCGCTTTGTCTCTCGAGATTCTGAAGAGTTCATAATCAGTCTGTGAGTGCATTGCAGATTCTGCTCTTTTGCAGGTGGGGGCTTTAACTAGGCTGGGATGCATGTGCTCCATGTGTATGTGCAGTATGTTCTGTTGGATTTGACATTCCGCACTGCAGCCTTGGCGTCCACCCAACATTCCAGCATCCAATCGCTCAGAACCACCAAAAAAAAAAAAAATCCATCCTTGTGCTCTTCTCGCTGCAATTACATTTTTGCTAACTGGGTGCTCAAATGAAATCCATTCGACCAGCAATTAGTCCTACAGTCCTGGCACACCATAGCAACGACGTACTGCTCTGTTCCGTCTGCGAAACTTGCCTAATACACCTGAGTTCGTCCAGTTTTCTGCCCTCTTTTTTTTTGGCGCCCAAGCGTTTTTCCGGCATCTAAAACATCATGAAAGTAGCATCCACCATTCCGCTTGTGCATGTATCGCCCCTCCTCAGCCTCCTGCCTCACATTTTCTCCTCATTCTTCACTCCTCGTTATTCATCGTTATCCCCTGGTCCCCTTCTCCTTGTTTCCTCCCCAACCCCTCCCTGCTGCGTTGCAGTTCCTTAGCAAACCAAGGCTTGTCTGGGAGCATACCATCCGTTTTGTCTCAACTTACGCGCCTTACATGCCTGTGCGTACACAGTGATGTGGACAAGATTAGAAGCCATTGCATCGTATCAAACTTCATCCATGTGTGTGTATAGCTCAGTTGATGCATTGTTACACGCATGACATTGACATACAATCTCTGCATTTCATAATGTTAATCCAACCTATACATGGTCAAAGTGACGAGGCGAGTAATACTCGACTCGTCACAGGCCATGCTCGCCGAGCATTTGCCCAGAGTCGAGCAAACCTCGAACGAGCATTTTGGTACTTTTGGCCTACTCGAGGCTCGTCGTTTTGGTACATACTCGGGCGAGTATGTGAGAATACTCGCCCGAGCATCGAAATACTCGACTCGCCCCTGTCTGCGTGCACCTGTTGCCCTACTTATACAGTACCAAACGCGACCTATTTTAACAAGCCACTGGCGACACTAACATGGCGCGCGCTAAGCTTAGAGTTGCGTGGGTAGGGTGACGACTAGGCATTGAGCCGTTGAATGTGCAAATGATGTCGATCCTATACGCAAAGTGGTTGGGAACATTTGCCGGGTTCAGATCTGGGGTCAAACTTTCCCGCCAAATTTGACCCCCGGGCAAATTCTACGCGACAAGCTTTACATGCTCGACGAGCAAAAAAAAAACTCGTCGAGCATAAAACGAGCACGGAAATGCTCGTCTTAGCGCACGAGCATGTGACTAGTATAAAAAGCTCGGCGAGCATTACTCGGCTCGACTCGGACGAGAAATTTTGCCAAAAAATCATGCTCGCCACTCGTCCCCCAACGAGCATTTCGAACGAGTCGAGTAAAAACCCTACACTCGTTGCCCATGTATAATCCAACCTTTCGTCTTTCATATTGTTATTGCATCATATCATGCAATAGTTTGGTTATCCCATGAATGAGACACAACAATCAAAGTCTCACGCCGTCACGATTCCCGCAGTAACCAGAGCCTGATTTTTTAGGCGCCCAAAAAACTGCTGTTCTTTCTGCAGTAACCGGTCGGAGCTTGTGTATGCTTATCCTTTTAAAGCAGTGCCGCAATCGAACCTCGTGCCCTCTCTCCGCACTCTTTTTTCCACCGTACGCCACTCTCCCCTTCCAATTTCCTTTTTACTTGGCTGTGCAGAAACCTGTCCAGCAATGCGTTCTCAGGAGATGTTCCGGATTTCCTTGGCAGCTTCCTCAACATTGAGACCATGTGAGGCACAGCACCGCACAGCACAGCACAGCACAGCACAGAACAGCACAGCACCGCACTGCACTGCACAGCCCGGAAAGGTATTACATCACAGCACAGCCAGCAAAGGTATTCCACCTCAGCACAGCACAGCAGAGCACAGGGTAGCACAGCACAGCACAGCAAAGGATAGCGCAGCACTGCACAGCGCACCACACCACACCACTGTAATGCACATATTGATGATGTCCTTAGCGGGTGTGCTTCATGCCTGGAGCGGAGCGTGCTTCATGCCTTGAAGCGTGGATCTGGATGTTGCGCTGCTCCTGTCTTGGAGTCACTTGTGGAAATAGCCCATGCTATGGCAGTGCATGGACATGACAGTACGTGTCCCATCAGTGCGGGTACATTGGCAAATTGCTGAATTCCCCTGTTTCCCATCTTTGCTAGCACACCCACCACCGCCCTTGCCACCACCACGCTCCCCTGTTCGTCCTTGCCGTGCCATGCCACCCCCTCATAGGGACCTGTCGTTCAATCAGCTCTCTGGGTCGATCCCATCCTCCTTGAGCGCCCTGGAGCACCTTCGCACGCTGTGAGACGAGCACCTTCGCAGTGCATCAAAGCATTCTTTGGTTTGGGTAGTCAGATACACTCACTAGCTCACAGTCTTACTCCTTACTGGAATGACTCAAGTCATTGTTGGCTGTCTCTGCTATGCACTGAGAGCACACAGCATTGAACACATGAACAGTCATACATAGCTGAGATATGGGGCATCTTTTAACTGTTCGTTTGATTACATCTACTGTTGGTCCGAATTTGTCGTCCCCAGCGCCCTCCTCTTGATAGTGTCAGCTCTAACCGCCCCTGCTTATATACATGAGCATCTATCCAGACCAACCTGGTGTCAAGCTCAAACCCAATATTTGCTGCATTACCCTGATTTCTCTCCCATGCTGCATTACCCTGTTCTCTGCTCTCTGCTCTCTGCTCTCTGCTCTCTCCCACGTGCCAGGAACCTGAGCAGCAACTACCTGTATGAAGGCGAGCTGCCTACCGCCATGTGCACCGCCACCTCATCCGCCTCACCGCTCGCCCTCTCCCTGCAAGACAACTGCTTCCCCTCCGACGCCGTCCCCTGTGCCCTCCCCCACGACCAGCGCCCCGCCCTCCAATGCTCCGCCTTCTGCGGCCTCTCCCCTCCCTCCACCCCGCCCTGTGATGGCCTTGGCTATTGCGTTTGGAAGGTCGAAGAAGGGGGGAAGGCTGCAGGCACTGCCACGTGTGTGTGCGGGGAGGGGTACAGCATTGGAGCTGATCCCGGCACGTGCGATCCCCCACTCTCAGAAACGGACTGTAAGGCCTTGTGTGCTGTGCTTTCTTGTTGATGGCTTGATTTGAATCAAGCAGTAGCCAGACTCTTATGAAGCACTGCCTCACGACAGCACCTCCCAGCGTGACTCCTGGTATTTTTTAGTTTTGTTTTGTTTTGTGTGTGTGTGTGTGTGTGTGTGTGTGTGTGTGTGTGTGCGTGCGTGCGTGCGTGCGTGCGTGCGTGCGTGCGTGCGTGCGTGCGTGTGTGTGTGTGTGTGTGTTTCAGTTTCAGTAACTACGAGTCTGTGGGCTTCACTGTACTGTACTGTGAATCCAACTGTTTTTGGTTTGGTACGTGTGTGCACGCAGGGAGTGTTCTGAAGTCTCTCACCGCTGCGTGGGGAGGCTTTGATGGCGAGGGCACGTGGGGGGAGAGTGGCGTGTCGTGCGAGCGCATGAATTTCATCACATGCGATTCCACCAACCACATTGAGACGCTGTGAGACCCATGTTGAGCTGCGCTGCTCTCCTTCAACTTCAATGGAAACGTTGCACTGACTGACCTCCCCTTGTTTGTTACCACCACATTCCATTCTTCCCTGCCATGACCCCTGCCATGACCCTCGCCATGACCCTGAGTTCATGTTCCATACATCTGCATTCGCGTCCATCACTCGTCTGCGTTCGCGTCCGTCACTCGTCTACCCGCATCACCACGTGTCATCTCACTCTCTCTCTCTCTGACCCCTCCTGGTGCTGTCATGGCAGCAACGTGTCAGGGAAGGGGATCCAGGGGCTCATTCCAGAAGCCATCAGTGGTCTCGAGACCTTGCGTGTGCTGTGAGTGCAGTGCACGCCCCTCCCTGCTTGCGTGTGCTGTGAGTGCAGTGCACGCCCCTCCCTGCTGCGTGAATCTCATCGCCTGCGTACTTTATCCATCCATCCCGGTCGTGCCATCTTCTATTACCTACCCATCTCCTCTGCTTGTGTGGCTGCACTTCGTGCTATACGTTTACGCTGTCTGTCTTCCCCATATCATCGTTTACTTTCTTCTTCTGCTGCATGTCGTTGATGCCTGGTGCGGTGCGTTTTTTGAGTCGACTAAATAATCGTCAATATCGTCGTCTCCTTTCTTCTGCTGCTGTATGGAATGTCGTTAATGCTTGGTGGTGCGTGCAGGGATTTGTCGGGGAACTACTTGACTGGTTCACTGCCGCGCTCTCTGATCAGTCTGTGGGACCTTGAGATTCTGTGAGCGCACCCCGTCTTGTGACCTAGGACCTATGTCACATGGCTTTTAGTGCACTTCACGCTCTATCTCTGAATAATCTGTGGAACCTTGACTGACATCCTGTGAGTGCATCTTGTTGCCACGGACCTGGGTCACATGCCTTTTAGTCCACAAGCGGAAACAGTTTCTGATTGTGTAAACATGCCGTCAGGAACCCACATCATTGTGGTGCCAGCATCGCATGGCTGTCCCAACTGTTCATTACATCCTTTATATATATATATATATATAGATATATATATAACTCAGATTGTCACTGTTGGCGGTCTCCAAAAATCAAACATCCAATCAAGATAATGCCTTAGTTCTCAAACTTGTCTCAGCATTTCATTCTCGATGCTCGCGCTGCACACATCCCTCCCTTGCGTTGTGCTCACGTGGTGCATGCAGATCTGTGAACAACAATTACCTCTACTCTGGAAATCTTTCCAAGTCAATGTGCAACTTCGTTACCCTCTCCCTGCAAGACAACTGCTTCCCCTCAGGCGCCGTCCCCTGTGCCCTCCCCCACGCCCAGCGCCCCGCCCTCCAATGCTCCGCCTTCTGCGGCCTCTCCCCTCCCTCCACCCCGCCCTGTGCTGGCCTTGGCTACTGCTTCTGGGAGGGCGGGGAGGCCACAGGCACTGCCACGTGTGCATGCGAGGAGGGGTATGGCGTAGGAGCTGATCCCGGCACGTGCATCACACTGTTGCCAACGCCATCATGTAAGCCCGGATCTCATGCTCTCATGATCTCATCGTCTCATCTTTTTTGCGCGTTTTCTTTCATGCTCACAACGACCTTCTGCAAACAGGTGTGATCTATTAAGGCCAGGTGCATGGAGATGGAGCATGAGCATCCCCAACTCCTGCCATGTCCATCCATCGCCCCAATTTTGGCCCCCCACATCCCAACTGTTTCTCCCCCAACTTCGCCCCCTCACGTTCCAGTGTCGCCCTCCAACTTCGCCCCCTCTCCCCCCACCTTCGCCCCTCACCTTCGCCTCCTCATGTGTGCTTGTGCCCTTTTGTGGTGATACGTCTTTGGGTGTTTACTGTCGGCAGGGCTGGTGCTGGACGCTCTAAAAACGGCTTGGAGAGGCTTTGATGGTGGAGGCACGTGGAAGCAGAGCACCCCGTGCGAGCGGCTGAATCATGTCACGTGCAACGCCAACAACTACATAGTGGATCTGTGAGCAACACCCCCTGTGCAACGATCATCATGCACACCCACAGCACGTGGACAACTGCATGGTGGATATGTGAGCAGTATTGTCGCATGCTCATATTGATAATTGCTGCATGCTCGTACTGTCAGCTGCATGCTCGTATTGTCAGCTGCATGCTCGTATTGTCAGCTGCATGCTCGTATTGTCAGCTGCATGCTCGTATTGTCAGCTGCATGCTCGTATTGTCAGCTGCATGCTCGTATTGTCAGCTGCATGCTCCCACGCCCACCCGCCGCATCCTCCTTCAGGCTCTCAAGCTATGCTCTTTCTGCTCTCCCTTGTCGGGCAGGAATGTTTACGGCCAAGGCATAGAAGGGACCATCCCGAGTACCATTCAAGGCCTGGTGAATCTCACGGCTCTGTGAGTGGCCTGTCTGATTCTGCCTCCCCAACGTGCTATCCTAGGTCACATTGCTTTGAGGCGCCTAGAACATTTGTTGTCAAATCTAGCCTCCGCAAGTTCCTGAACAGTGTCACTTATGCCGGTTCGGTTATGGCTTAAAGGCCAAAGCCCGAATTACACAACGAAGTCAACGTGGAAATTGCAGGTTCGGGAAACCCCAGGAGGAGGTTCGGTGGGAAATTCGGAAAAGAAATCGCATAAAAAAACCACTCAAAGATTTGGACCAATCGCGTGACAGTTTCACGCCCGACTCGGTAATTCTGGGCGTGGCCTTTAAGCAAACAGCGTTTTGCAGTGGGACAGCTTTTGTGAGGGCACTGGTGCAAGCATGTGTGCACGCAAACATGTGTATGTGCAAGCATGTGTGTGTGCAAGCATGTGTATGGAAGCATGTGTGTGTGCATACATATGTGTGAGCAAGCATGTGTATGTGCATGCATGTGTGTGCATGCATGTGTGTGCGCGCAAGCATGTGTGTGCGCAAGCATGTGTGTGTGCAAGTATGTGTGTGTGCATGCATGTGTATGTGCAAGCATGTGTATATGCAAGCATGTGTGTGCGCATGTATGTGGTGCGCATGCATGTGCTGTGCGTGCATTTGTATGTGCATGCATGTGGTGTGCATGCATGTGGACACACATGTGTGTCCTTGAGCTTCCTGTTCTCGTCCACCTCCCCTCTCCCTTAACTCCCCAACCTCTCTCTGCCCTCTTGCCCGTGATTTTCTCCCTCTTATTGCAGCAATCTGTCACACAACGCCATAGCGGGGCCGATTCCTTACTCCATCAGCAGTCTGCCGCGCCTTCAAGTCCTGTGGGTTTATTCAAGCTTGCTGTGGGTGGGCCAGGGGATGCTTCAATTCAGTCAATAGGGTTGGGATTGGCCAATGGCCAGAATTTGAGGTCACATCACGTCTAGCTGAGAGAGAAGGGTCAATGAGTTTTTGGGCTGGGCGAATACCATATAATTCACAGGTTGGTCATGAGTAATAAATTGCTTTTGGGTTATTCTGTGTTGCAGGGATTTGTCATACAACCAGCTGTCTGGGGAATTACCAAGGGGACTCAGCAAGTTGGAAGGGCTACTCACACTGTGAGTTGCTCTTCCTAGCTGACGGAGTCAGGCACACTATACCTTCCATGCCCTGCCGCACCGCAATCATGCATTTTTATCGAGTTTTTAGTCATGTATTTCTCCCATGCTATCGAATGATCCTTCGTATAGATTGCATGGCAAGGACACGCAAGGCAAGACCAGAAAATTCCAAACGGAAGTACCTAGTTAGGAATGAAGAAACCGAGAATGGGGAGGGAAGGAGAGTGTAAGGGCTTCACAAGGTTCCAAAGGCTTCTCTTTCTCTCTGCTCTCTCTCCCTCCCATGCACCAGCTCTCTGAGAAGCAACTACCTGTATGGAGGCACACTTCCCACCACCATGTGCGCCTCCTCCTCCTCCTCCTCCTCCTCCTCCTCCTCCTCCTCCTCCTCCTCCTCCTCCTCCTCCTCCTCCTCCTCCTCCTCCTCCTCCTCCTCCTCCTCCTCCTCCTCCTCCTCATCCTCCTCCTCCTCCTCCTCCTCCTCATCCTCCTCACCGCTCGCCCTCGCCCTGCAAGACAACTGCTTTCCCTCCACCGCCGTCCCCTGCGCCCTCCCCCACGCCCAGCGCCCCGCTCTCCAATGCTCCGCCTTCTGCGGCCTCTCCCCTCCCTCCACCCCGCCCTGTGCTGGCCTTGGCTACTGCTTCTGGGAGGGCGGGGAGGCCACAGGCACTGCCACCTGTGCATGCGGGGAAGAGTCAACAACAGGAGCCACTTACGACACCTGCAACGCCATGCTTCCAAATTCAGAGTGTACGGCTGTGCTCAGCAGGTGCAATGTCCTATCATGCAACAACAATCCAAGCGCCACCAGCAGCGCTGTTAAGAAGTTGTGACGAAACGGCACATTTCTTCGTGATGCTTGATTTGAATCGCCTCAGAAGTCATGCTGGTTCATATCTCACAAATTTTTAGGCCTGTTACGGTTAAACTTTCGTCTATCTAGCCCTGTTGCTTCTGCCGGGTCGCTCTTTTTCTCCCCTTGCCGCCACCACATCACATCACACAGGGAAAGCACTAAAGCATTGGCCGCATGGCAAAAGCATGATGGGGGACGCACGTGGAGGCTATTTTTGAGTCGGCCAAAAAATATACTATTTTCCTCCCCTTGTCACCACGCCACACAGGGGAAGCACTGAAAGCACTGACGGCCGCGTGGCAAAAGTATGATGGGAGACGCACGTGGAGGCGAGCCAATAAATGCGCCGACATGGCACACATCACTTGCGGCAGTGACAACCATGTCATCAGCCTGTAAGGGTGTTGCAAGTGCTGGCATCAGCATTGTCGTTGGGATGTTAAGGGGAGGGTTACAGACTGGCTTCCAAAGATTCACCATATAGATATGATCAGTAGGCATGAGTTGAAGGCAAAATCCTTTTAAACTCGAACCAAACACGTTCAGTTCCAGCCAAATAGTATTTGTGAAATAGGCGAACTCCCCTGCCCCTACATTCCCCCCTGCCCCCACATTCCCCTGCCCCTACAGTCCCCTGCCCTCACATTCCCCTGCCCCTACAGTCCCCTGCCCTCACATTCCCCTGCCCCTACATTCCCCTGCCCCTACATTCCCCTGCCCCTACATTCCCCTCCCCGTACAATCGCCTTTTCTCCATGCCGACTGGATCGCACAGGGAAGTGGACTCTGTTCAAGTTTCAGGCAGCATACCAGCACTTATTGGGAATCTCGTCAATCTTACCTCATTGTAAGCCCCCGTCCATCCACCTGCACCCCTCTATGCACGACATCCCACCTGCCAGCACTAAGCATCACATGATCACATCCCCCCTGCTGCTGCCAACACTTCTCAATGCACCACTTCCCACCTGTCAGCACCACTCCACTTTATCTCAGCTGCCAACATTATGCACCATCACACCTGCTAGCAAACCCATTGCACCGCATCCCACCTGCCAGCACCACTCTGTGCACCACCACATCCATCTGAACGTACGGCGCTTCTCCTATCAACCCCCCCCCCCCACTGTGTTGTAACTCCCCTGTCCACCAACCTTCACTGCCTGCCTGTCTCTCATAGGGATCTCTCCAGCAATAGTCTGAAAGGCAGTCTTCCATCGACCATCACAAAGCTTACTAATCTTGTCAAGCTGTGAGCAGTTTCAGCACCTATTCGGTCAGCGCTGTTGTCAAGTTGGTGCTGATTGCGATGTTAGATTGAATCGTGGAAGTCAGCCCTTTTCTAGCCTCTCTCCCTTGCGCACCTTACCCATCCGCCTTCCTCCTTGAGAAGCTCACATCTTCTCCTGAGAATCTGGCTGATTCGTTTCCGGTGTGACGAGGTACTTGCATTGCATTGCACCTCTTGACGGTTTTGACACTTTGGTTCAGGCACTTCAATGCTCAACCGTGTGGTGCTGTGCGGCTTGGTGCTGTGCGGTCTGGTGCTGTGCGATCTGGTGCTGTGCGGTGTGGTTGATATTTGCAGGTGCCTGCCATACAACTTGTTCACAGGTGATCTGCCAAATGCCATATCAGCGCTGCAACGACTCAAGACATTGTGAGGGAACCCGTTCAAAGTCACTATTAGTGATTGAAGGAGGTGGGGGTTTGGAGAGCAGAAGGCAGGCAGACAGATGGGCTTGAGTGTGTGTTACACATGTGAGGGCGTGGGGGCATAGTGTTTGAGAGTGTGAGTAGGGCAGTGGGGACACTTAAAAAAAAAAAAAAAAAAAAACGTGAGAATTCTCAAAGAACACATTCAGGTTGGGCTTGAGGTGTGTTACACGTGTGAGGGCTTGGGGGAACAGTGTTTGTGTGTGAGCCTGGCCTGGGAGCAGCAGACTCTAAATGGGTGGCGAGCAAAGGCAGATGGAATGCTGAGATGTGCAATGGAGGCTGTAATGGGTCGGTATTGTGTTGGCATAGCTGCTATCTAATCTCCGGAATCGCCGACTTCCTCCAGCAGTCGCAGAGAGTCATAAGGACCTCCTTCTGATGCAGTGTGGTATTCCTATTACTACGAGTTTGGATAGAGTGGAAACCCTGCAACAAGATGACGCTCAGCTGCTGCTGTCTGACGGTGCAGGGGATTTTTCGGAGCTGCCAACCTCCCCTCCAGCAGTTGTAGAGTTTTAGGGACATATAAGGGTCCCTGTTCTGACGCTCAAGTGCTGGAAGTCGTTGCCAATTCCGAAGATCCAACTACTAGTTTGTAGAGTTATGTTTTAGGCTTGCTGACTCTCAGCTGCTGATGGTGCTCCTGCTGATACTGCAGGGATCTGGGAGCCAACGCATTTACAGGGCAGATCCCAACAGGAGTGTGTGCCCTCACGAATCTGACCTTCTTGTGAGTCTCCCTCATCCAAGTTGACTTGTGAGCCAAAATTCCTGACGTTTTGTGTTTTTGTCAGTGCAACCACCAAGCATTCAAGGTGCAACCACCGAGCATTCAAGGTGCAACCACCGAGCATTCAAGGTGCAACCACCGAGCATTCAAGGTGCAACCACCGAGCATTCAAGGTGCAACCACCGAGCATTCAAGGTGCAACCACCGAGCATTCAAGGTGCAACCACCGAGCATTCAAGGTGCAACCACCGAGCATTCAAGGTGCAACCACCGAGCATTCAAGGTGCAACCACCGAGCATTCAAGGTGCAACCACCGAGCATTCAAGGTGCAACCACCGGGCATTCAAGGTGCAACCACCAAGCATTCAAGGTGCAACCACCGGGCATTCAAGGTGCAACCACCGAGCATTCAAGGTGCAACCACCGGGCATTCAAGGTGCAACCACCGTGCATTCAAGGTGCAACCACCGGGCATTCAAGGTGCAACCACCGAGCATTCAAGGTGCAACCACCGGGCATTCAAGGTGCAACCACCGAGCATTCAAGGTGCAACCACCGAGCATTCAAGGTGCAACCACCGAGCATTCAAGGTGCAACCACCGAGCATTCAAGGTGCAACCACCGAGCATTCAAGGTGCAACCACCGAGCATTCAAGGTGCAACCACCGAGCATTCAAGGTGCAACCACCGAGCATTCAAGGTGCAACCACCGAGCATTCAAGATGCAACCACCGAGCATTCAAGGTGCAACCACCGAGCATTCAAGGTGCAACCACCGAGCATTCAAGGTGCAACCACCGAGCATTCAAGGTGCAACCACCGAGCATTCAAGGTGCAACCACCGAGCATTCAAGGTGCATCGCAGCACTTCACTTGTTGCATGCAGCACTCAACCTTCTGAGTATTTTCAAAAGCAACTCCAACATGCAGCAGTCAACTCAACCTTCTCCCACCCACCCTCCCCTTCCCCCCTCAACGTTGTCTCTGCACGCCAGTATTCTCGCTGACAACAGCTTCACCGGGTCCCTTCCTGACTGCATCACGAATCTGACAAGACTTACTATGCTGTGAGTCCCCTTTTCTAGTCAGTCCAGGAGAACATGGGGTCTCACAGGACAGGACAGGACAGGAGGCCACTTATTCGGTTATAGGGGACTTGCGTTCGATTTGGCAACTTCTCTTCGCATTGCGTGCACACTCTGCCCTGCTTCTCTTCTTGCATCGCATGCCCAATCCGCCCTGCTTCTCTCCTTGCATCATACGCCCACTCTGCCCTGCTTCTCTCCTTGCATCATACGCCCACTCTGCCCTGCTTCTCTCCTTGCACCACGCTCTGGCCTTCAGAGCTCTGCAGCGCAACCAACTGTCCGGACAGCTGCCCCCCTCCATCCATTCACTCAAAAAGCTTAAGGTTTTGTGAGTCTGGTCATCTATTCAGTGTGCTGTGCAGCAATGTGAACTATAACGCACATTGTACTTACTGTTTGTCGTTTGCTTCAAAATCCTTTCGTTGTGTGGGAAATTGGGTGTAGCGCTGGATTCACTTTGTCCTGCTAGCAGGTAAGTGCAGTAGGGTGAGGAGGGACAATGGAGTGTCTATGCAGCAGAGATTCTCCTCTGTTGTGTCAAAATTACAGTATGTGTTGAATTAAGACATGAGGATTCCCCATGCATGAACGCATGCCATTGAATGCATGCTGCTGAATGAATGCTAATGTATGCATGCCAATGAATGCATGGCATTGCATGCATGACCGTGTGAATGAGCGGCGGAGCAGGGATCTAAGCTACAACAGGTTCTCAGGAAGCATACCTTCTAATCTCACCTCGCTGACATCTCTTAATAGAATGTAGGTGCCTCTCAGCAGCCGAGTGTAAATGCCTCCGCTCATCATTCTCAGAGCACACATATTTTCACAATAACGTAAGGAAAGTTGTAGGAATGTCACCGAGGTCATGCCTCCGAAGTCAAAGCCTCTCCGTGTTCTTTCTGCAAGGGCAATTATTGCATATGTCGGGGTATTTAGTTGCTTCGTTCAGAATAAAGCGGCCAAACCCCATGAGTCACACCCCCGCTCCTCCCCTGCTGTGCACCACCACACACGTGCAGCCACGTGGACAACAATCTACTCACGGGAGCCTTGGTACCGCTGCCAGCCAATGTCACTTTCACTGCAACCGCAAACTACCTCTCCGTGTCTCGCTCTGAGCCCAAGTCCTGCAAACAAAGCCTTTACAGGGACAACTGCTTCACGTTCAAGAAGCGTTTCAAGAAGCTGCCTTCTGCATGCTTCAAGGTCCGCCAGCGGCCCATGCGTGAATGCGCGCCGTTCTGCGGCCTTTCCAGCAAAAGCCATCCCTGTGGGGGGCTTGGCACGTGCGTTGTGAGAGGCGCTTCTGAAAGGCCGGAGTGTGTGTGTAAAGAAGGATACATCCAAGGGGAGTCGCCAGCCACGTGCATTCCTGAAGGTAGTTAATGCTGCATGCCATGACTCCATGTTTCACATCCCTCTGTCACCTTCATGTACCACCTCCACGTACCACCTCCATGCCCGTTTCCCAACTGATGCGCATTTTTAAACTCCATACCCATATCCCAACCGCATGGTTTCTCAACTTCACAGTCAACCTTCTCAGCCACATCTCGTGTGTCTGCACTGCATCCCCACTCTGCACTGCATCCCCACTCTGCACTGCATCCCCACTCTGCAGCAAAGGGTTACCCTCAAGACACCACCCTCATCGAAAGCCTGCTCACCCTCACCAACCGCACTGCACCGTCCCGTGGATCTTTTTTTTCTGAGAATCCCGTCAAGCTCTTCTCGTATGAAACCATCGGAGGTCGCTGCGGGCGGCAGTTCTACTTCAAGGCTGCCTTCTCCTTCATCATGTTTCCGGGAGCCGGAAGCACCGGCGGCAACGGCCTCGCGTTTGTCGTCTCCGCGACGAGCAAGACCGCGAGTGAGGTTGACAGCAGCGCGGGATTCAAAGGCATGGACCGGCGCAGCATGGCAGTGGAGTTTGACACGTGGCTGGACGAGGAGAGCGGAGACACAAGCGCAAGCCACGTGGGCGTGAACCTGAGCGGCAGCCTGATCTCCAGCGAGACTGCCAACACCTCCGATGCGCTGAACAACCGAAAGTTGTTCTCCGCGTGGGTGGAGTACACACCAGAGGAGAAAGAGAGCCTGAAAGTGTTTCTTTCATCGGCGTTCGGTGCTCGCCCGGACAAGCCGCTGCTGTCGATGGAGCTCTCTCTCTGCGAGTTGTTGAAGCCCTCGCGCGCGTCCTCCTCGTTCTACTTTGGCTTTGTGGCTGCGTCACTTGAGCAGGCGCAAGAGCACGCTGTCGGCATGGCATCCGTTGAAACAGGCAAGTCGACTTTTGAGGCGGCTCAAAAGGCGCCTCAAGAGGCGCCTCAGAAATTGGCTTTGTGGCCGCGTCACTCCTCCACGCGCAGGAGCATGTTGTCGGCATGGTGTTTGTAACTTACAACAGGCAAGCTTGCAGATCCTAGGTAGGGGGAAGCGTGCATGCACTTGCAGCAACGAAGCAGGCAGTATCATATGTGGACTTGCCACAGGTCATTAATATCACAAAACACAAGTGTGATTGGATCCTCGTTTCTCAGACATCCAGTCAACCCCAACTCCTATCATGCGTAACCATCGGCTTCTGTCTGAACTGGAACTTCTGTCTGCCTGCTTGTGTTTCTTGCCTTGGCAGGATACTTCAAGCCTCCCCCGCTCCCAGGTGTCAGAAGTAAGTTGTGCAGCTGACGTTTTCGTTCCTTCCTTGCTCGCTTCGCTCCTCCCATAGCTCCTTCCTTGCAAGTGTGGTTGACTTGATAGGAGAGAACCAAGACACTGTAATCAAATGAAGTGATCTACCGAAGTCATTACAATGAAAGTGCTATGTAAGCCAGCAAACCCTCCACTCCACACGCTCACTTCTGCACCTCCTCGCTCCCACCACCCACCACCTCTTGCTCCCACCTTCTCGCTCCCACCCCTCTCCCCCTGCATATTGGGACTGGCGGTGAACGTTAACATGTTCAACCCGCAAACGACTATTTAGGCGCAAAACCAAACCCTTGCTCGCCCCCCCTTTAAGCTCGCCCCCCCTTTAGGCTCGCCCCCCCTTTAGGCTCGCCCCCCCTTTAGGCTCGCCCCCCCTTTAGGCTCGCCCCCCCTTTAGGCTCGCCCCCCCTTTAGGCTCGCCCCCCCTTTGCTCCTCCCACCCCCTCGCCCCCTGCAGAAACTGGACTGGCGGTGAGTGTGAACATATTCAACCCGCAGACGATGAGTCTGCTTTTGGGTCAACTCAAAAGCCTCCTCGCTTCTACCCCCTCGCTCCCACCCCTTGTCCCCACCCCCTCCCTTCCTGCAGAAACGGGGCTGGCGGTGAGCGTGAACATGTTCAACCCGCAGACGACGAGTCCGTTCACGCGGTATGTGAGCGTGGGGTACATCAAGGCCCAGGACGAGCAGGACGCGTGGCTCATCCCCAACTTCTCCACCTGGACCACCGACCCCAACTGGCTGCCCAAGGACCAAGGATCCTGCGGTGAGCCTTCGGGACAACTTCCACCCTACGCCCTTCCACCCTCCTTCCTTCCAACCTCCTTCCTTCCAATCTCCTTCCTTCCAACCTCCTTCCTTCCAACCTCCTTCCTTCCAGCCTATGCCCTTCCAGCCTCTTCCCTTCCAGCCTCTTCCCTTCCAGCCCTTCAAGCCTTTGCCACATCATCCCTCCACAGCAAAAACGACCTTTCAGTCTGCTGCACTCTCTCTCTCTCTCTCTCTCTCTCTCTCTCTCTCTCTCTCTCTCTCTCTCTCTCTCTCTCTCTCTCTCTCTCTCTCTCTCTCTCTCTCTCTCTCTCTCTCTCTCTCTCTCGAATGGCCCTTTCATTGATTGATACAAGATCATACAGGCATGCAAGGTGAAAACGGGCGGATGTCTGATGCATATCCCTCAAACTACGCACACATCGGCTCTACCCCCCCCCCCCCCCCCCCAACCCCCCCCCTCCCCCTTAAGCTAGGTCCAGAGCAGGATCAAGGACCAAGAGGCAGTCCCCTAGGGACAGGGCCTCCCCCACTGGCTCTAGCAGTGGGTATTCTACGGCAGCCGCTATGGTGCACTTTTCTAGGTAGCCAATCGACTGCCCCCTTTGAAGAGCCACCGACCACCGCTGCCGGTATTGGTGTAAAAGCTTGGCAGCTTGGTAGGAGGTGGGCTCGGCGTTAAAGAACCGCCTTGCAGCTGTTTCCGCGAGCAGTTTCAGGAAATCCACTGTCTCTGGGCATGGGCACCCATACGTCTCGACCGCTAGTGGGAAGAACTTCACCCACTCTGGGCGGTCCGTGTACAAGCCGTGCTTCTTGTCTGCAGCTTCTCGTGCTGCCCATCCCCGCCCCTTAGATGCATTCTCGTCGCGGGTGCTGATGGGGTCCGTCACCGTCACATCACAGATGTAGACGGCGCCGGTGGAGCGGCATCGTAAGGCCAAATCGGCCTTCTTCTCCTCCACAGGGCTGAAGGCAGCCGTTTCTATGTGCACCATGAATCCGGCATCACGCGCCATCCGTGCACACTCGTCTCTTAACTCATTGTGTGTGTTTGTGCGTCCCCCCCCCGTGCCGCAGCGTAGCAGGTGGTTCGGTAATCGTTTATCTGGGATCGTCACCTTCTTTGAGCAGTTGCAAACCCCCGGAGCCGCGAAGGGGAGGCCCAGCCGAAACTGGACCGCGTTGGCATAGTGGGGAGCCTCAAGGCATAGCGAGGAGTGGAGGGGCACGGCGTTTAACCAGTCCCCAGCCCCGTACCCTGACAGGGACAGCAGCCGCTGCGTGTGACCGTAGTTGGGGTTTGGCCTCATCCCCCGCGTCTCCTCCACCTGCACGGCATAGCGCTGGCCCTGGACAGCCGTGGCCAGGCCGTGCTGCAGCTTTCCCGCGGTTGGAGCTATTCTTTCAGCTTGCAGGGCCTCTTGTGCTGGCAAGGGAAGCTCCTCCTCGCAATCCGCTAGCCATTCGGTCAAAGGGGAGGACCGCGTGTAGGGGCCGCGCATCAGCTCTCGTGTAGCTTCCAGTGGGCCGTTGCACTCGCCATCAAGGGAGTCGAGCAGCAGCTGCGCCTGCGTGTAGCTGGCGAGGAAGCTGTAGCCTCCTTCCACGGTGGGGTCGGTCAGCCCGAGCCCTCCCAACGACACGGGGAGAGAGGCTTGCGCCCACGTGCGTGAAGTTTCTTCCCCGCGCGGGTGATTGATGCCGCATGCCGTCAGGAGCGTTTCCAGCAGCCTCCTTCCCCATTCGGACCACTCCTCCTTGGGCAGGGATGGCAGCGGCGTCGTGCGGGCTAGGTAAGACACTCGGCGCGAGATGCATCGAGATAACAGCAGCCCCGCTAGTTGAGGCTCCATGTGCTCAATCAACCCCAGAGGTGCTCCCATTGCCTCCAGACTGGACCGCACAAAGGCTGATGTAGCCGTGTTGGTGCCGATGTAGCTTCCCAACGCCTTCAAGCCGTCATGGCTTGGGGGAACTCCTTCAGGTAGGTGTACATCTGTGGGCGGCCCATCTGACCATGCCCCGCACTTTCCAGGGTTGTGTCTCAGCCCGATTTCTGCTAGGCGGCCCGTGAAGTTGTTAAACGCAGCTGCACACGACGACGGTTCTCCCAAGAAGGTGACGTCGTCCGCGTAGGCAAGGCAGATGACATCCGGATGTGCCTCCGCGGCCGCCTTCAGGGCTGGGTGCATGGCTGCAGCAAAGAGAAGGGGGCTGAGGGGATCCCCTTGGCGGACCCCCGTCTCGCTGAGCAGGGGCGGGTGGTTGAAGGCCGCGTCCAGGTGCAGCGTGGACGGCTGGCCGTAGGAGAAGTGTACCAGTGGCAGCAGCGGTTCAAGCTTCGAGCTTTTCAGGGCTGACGCTATGGCGTGGCGGTCTACACTATTGAAGGCGTTCGCCAGGTCAGCCTGTAGGACCAGCGCGTTCTTATTGGCCGCGGTGAAGGTTCGTATGACGTGAATGACCGCTTCAGCTCCTCCAGGGACAGCCACGCCAAATTGCAAAGGTAAGAAGAACTCTCGCGCGGCTTCTGCTAGCTGGGAAAGCGCGGCCTTTGCTGCTAATCGGAGGATACACTCGCCTATGGCAATCGGCCTGGTTCCTCCGTCAGGCTTATCCAGGGCTATCAGCCGAGATGCAGTGAGGAGCTGCCCTACCTCCGCGCCCAGCTTTCCGCGCAAGATGGTGTTGACTAGTGCGTGTAAGTGGGTGCTGACTTCAGTGTGCATCAGGGCTGCCTCACGCAGGTGCTCGAATGTCATGCCTGAAGGGCCCGCCCCTACCCCATTCTCACATTTCGAGAGTAGCTTCAGGAAGACTTCCCGTGACACAGACAGGTAAGAGTCTGGTTCGGGTTGGGGCCACGGAGTGCCAGGGCGCTGGGCGCTTGGGTGTTTGGCGCGCAGGGATTCCAGAACCTCAGGGGATGGCTTGCTGACTGGCGTGGCTTCAAGTGCCATAACAGCCCTCCTCAGACTGCCACGTCGCGCTAGTCCTTCGGCTCTGGAGATTATCCCAAGGTTATCTGGCTGATGCCTTGGGGGGGGAGGGAGATCGAGCGAGTCTGTCTCCTGGTACAGCGAATCCCACTCCCCTCGCAGGAATTTGCGCAATCGGTTTTTGGCCGCCTTCCAATCAGGGTGCTTCGGTGAGTGCTGACGCAGCGTCAGGCGAGCGGCAAACAGCAGCACAGTCCAGGCTTGGGTGGAGTCAGGGTCACGGGCGAGCCGCAGCAGTGGTGTCAGAATAACCATTGCGAAAAGAAGGCGGAGTTTTTCTGGCAGGCGACGTGCCAGAGGTGAGTTGCGACTGTCGCGAAGCAAATCCAGGTTCCAGTCATTGACGCTTGCGAAAAGCGTGTCATCCCTAGCGAGTGCCTCTGGCGATTTTTGGGGGCGCGGTTGTGTCTGCAGCTGGTTACCCCTCGCCACCGTTCGTGGTGCAATGCCAGGTGCCGATGTCAGGTTTGGATTGGCGGGCTGGTTGGCAGTGGTGGCGGGGTTGGCAGGGGTGGTTCGACGCTGTGGAGAGGGTCGCGGCTGGGTGGGTGTAATGTGGAAATTGGATGTCGCGCTTCGAGCGTGGGTTGCGATCGTCCTCTGCCGAGCAGGAATTTGTGAGTCAGCCTCATCCGAACTTGAGTCTGCGCCATCGTCCTCCGCCTCATAAATACTCCCCGAAATAGCATCAACTTCATTAGCTTCTCCCAACGTATTTAAAGCCCACCTTGCAGCCGCCTGGAACGCGTTCTGGGCCACCTTCACGTGCACCTCTGCCACACCCACGACCTCCGGCACGTCCTCCTCTCATCCGCGCGCTGGCCGCGGCCAGCAGTGGGCCTCCTCGGTTTCCTTCCCCCGTGCTCTGACGCGGTCGTGCGTCCTCCAATGCCTGCTGCCGACGCGTTGACCGCGAGGTCGGTGGTGCCGCCGAGCGGCTGCTACCGCTGTCCGCTGCTCCAAGCCACCTGCACTTCCTCTCGGTGTTCTCGCCCCCGGCGCTCCCGCTCCTGTCGCGCCGCAGCCGCCTGCGGCGTTGCCACTTGTCCAAGCTGCTGCTGGTGTCCATGCGCAGGGGGCGGCGGCGGGCGCCGCCCACGACTCCGCGCACCCGGCCGCTCATGCGTCTGCGCCGGTCCAGCCCGTCGCGCAGCAGCGCGCGGAGTCAAGCAGCCGCGGTGCTGCGGGAGGC